TCATAGTTTTTTTAATATCAATAGAGGAAAAGATATTCCAAGAACCAAAATTAGGTAAAGAGCATGTGCAGATATAACTAGATAATTTACTGCTTGTTGGCCAAACAAAATGCGACCAATTTGTAATGCCTTCCAAGGTAGATATTATTTTTTTTGCTTTTTTTGGTCATTCACTAGGGTTAATATTTGCAACAGATGTTCTTTTTATATCCCTGATTGCATCTACTAAGTTATTTTGATGCTTTAGTCATTATAAGTAACTGATAGCAAATTATTTTTTTAGAGAAATAATTGCTAAGTGATCCTACGGGATCATATATCGTAGTAATTACTTTTCTAAAAATTTCTGTAACTAAATATTACCTGTGCATGATGGGAATCTACTGTAGTTTTTGCTTTACCAGGTTCTAAAAAAATCCATAATTTTACTTCTATATCGTACCATTTGAACCATTGACTAATTATTATCATTAGTTCTTTGTTATGATAGTGTGGGCCATTATCCGAAAGAATTTCTATCCAGGAAGGTTTTTTCTCCATTGTAGAAAACAAGGCATCAAAAGAAGACGCAGTGAACCACGCGTCTTGTATTGGATCAGCTGACCAATGGTCCAAAACTTCAACATTTAATAAGATAGAATCATTAGTTTTTTTTGTATATACCAGTAATGTATGTAATGTATATCCTTTTTTTCCAAAAAAATCTGATTTTACTTCTCATGCTGACTGGGGTAAAATTTTCATTTTATAGTCAGCTATGATAACAGCACCATTTTTATTTAAACGGAGTAATGCTACATTAAACTGTGCATTAAGATAAGTTTTTCTAGCTTGGTGAGCCCAGTAATATTGTAATTTGGCATGATTCTCAATTATTTTTTCTTTTTCATTAGGAAGGATTTGTAGAATTTGCTGAAAAATTAAATCAACTTTGTTACATTTATTGCAATGTTTCGAATGTTCTTCGTTACAGTTTTCAAATGCAAATTTTAAACAATATTCATTATAATCATCATGTTGAACATGCCCCAACATATTTATTATCAATTCTTTTTCATATTTTTGTTTCAAATAATATTGAGTTACTTCTAGTTGAGCTATTAATTCATTCTAATTACAATATTTAGATTCAAATTTAAAATTAATATTAATTATATTTTTTTATAAATTATTATAGCGAATCTAAGTATTTTTTTGCTTAATTTTTTTACGAACTAGTGTAATCATATCTTTAAAAACACCAAATCCA